CGACTCTGTGTAGCAGGCTGATTCGAAGTGGTTAGCAGAAGAACGCAGGGGGTGAGGCAGCGGAGATCAACATAGGGTGGCCGTACGAGTTTTTGTATTATACGGAGATTATCAACCTGTTCGGTTCCATTTGGAGGGTGCGCAGGGTGGCACATCCCCGCGAGAAACGGAGTAAGAGAGAAAGAGAAAGGGTGAGTCGGCGTGCGATGGCACACAGGGAGCAAAAGGGGGACGACGCGTCGCTCGTAGCCAGGGCAAGGAAACGTTGGAAGGGGTTCGGAGAGGAGCTAGAACGGCGAGGGTCGTCGAGAAGGGGGTTTGTGTCCCAAGTTGGGGGGTCGCGAATAGAGCATGCAAGCACGCACACGCTGCATTCCCTTGGGACGAGGCCGCTCTTTATGCTCGATATAATACCGCTCTCAAAACATACACACTTCTCCCGTTCTCTTAACGTGTGTTGCCGGGCACACGCCGGGGAGCGAGCCGGGCCGTGGCCTAGGTAGGTGGGGTTCTTCCGACCTTCCTATTCCTATATCGTCTCTCACTATGGCATAACAATACGCCTTCGACTCCACGAGAAACGCGTCGCGAGTCTGCGAGACGGTGAAGGAGACCGGAGACGAGATCAGGCTTGTAATTGATTTGAGAATTCCACAAACAATGCCAACGCCTGACGGAACCGATTTGGAGGGATTTAGTTCAGATCGAATTTCAACTCTTGATGGCTATGCGAAAATTATCCTCGTCTCGTGTCGTGTCCTCGGATTAGATCGATATAAAGCTCGGATCGTTTTTAGCATTCACTCGTGTCGAGTAATTACTGTCAATGGTTATAATGGATGAACGTAGTACTGAGCATAGATGTTCGATTAATCTTACATTAAATAATCATAAGAGAGTAATGTTTGCATAACTGGACAAAGGTGCTTGTTAAAAGCGTTTCGTTTTTTATCAGATCAAAGATCAACATGTATTGTATTGACACAATGACAAGCAACATCGGTCTACGAGGGGGTCCTTTTCTTTTTCGTGACAATGCTTGGACACGCGCGTTACGCTTAGGGTCACAAGTACTTAATATACTCAAAACATTTTATTTTCCTTATTGTACATAAATCATCGCAAATTGTTCTTTCCTTCAACTCGTGCTCGCTCGTTTTCCGATGACCTTTCTATGACTCGCACCCGTGTCACGTTTAACATCCTGACTAATTACAAGGTGATACTCTAGTCTTGCGTGTCAAGTACTCGTCGCGAATTTAACGATAAGTTCTTCGACTCCCTTTCTATCAATTATGATGCTTCGCCTGCGTCTCTCGTTCCCGTATACCAATCATAATCGCGAGTCTCTTTCGAGAAATTAACTTCTGTGAATTTTACTCTAATTATTTGATTGAGACATGTGAAGTTATAATTATTATTTGGTTCTCTTGAAAATAATTAATGACACGCATACAGTAAGATTAAACTCGTAGATGAGAAGTAATTATATTTCGAAGTCGTTGGAGAGTTGATTTTTGTTATTAATCCAGGCGACGGCATTATTGTGGGAGCGTCGCTGAGCTAATCTTGGAAATCCCAATAATTGCCGAATCATTTAAAAGACGACGCGGTAAGAAAAACAAAAGCCGGTCGTCCGCTAATCAAAGTGTTTGCCTTCGCTTAATCCTAGCTTAGCGGAGACTTAAATATTCCTTGTAAACTCCCGTCCAACGGCGGGGATTACTAAATGGGAGCAACGGAGGGTCTTGTCTTCGACTTAGCTAGGAAGTGGCAAGCTTGACTGTAATAGGATAAGACCGCCGAGGAGTGTTCCTCGCTGTAGACGTGCAACGTGTGCACCCGCGTATCGGTGAGGAAAGCAGTTTCGACTATCGCGCGTGGCACATACGTGCACGTACACGTAAAAATGTGTTTTTACGTTTTTCAACGAAATTTCATTCGCCGTACTTGGAGAACGTTTCGGTTTAACGTTGAAAGAAATCGTTGATCACTTTCGAGAAGTTTCCAATCCCGGTAAATAATGTTTCAAATGAAATTAGCAACTACGAAACTCCGGCGGAAAGGAATATTAGGAAAATTTTGTTCCTTTTAAGAACAACTTAAATCAATTTCCCTTTACGGCTCGGCGTGGAAGCGGCGAGCTTAATCTTTCGCACGCAAAACTACAATGTTTTATAATAACGCGGCCAGGAAGACAGCGCCGGTATTAAGGGGGAACAAAGTACTCTCCGGCGACGACAAAAAAGTTCATATTTTTTCAATTAAGACGGGCGAGGCAGGCGAGGGTAGATTCTCGTCAAGGCGAGAGAGGGTCTTTCGACACCATTAGCGCTCTCGTAAAAATACGAAAGAGCGTCGTCCGCGTCGCGCGAACTCTTTCCCACTTAAATATGAGATCAAGGATTAACAGTCGCTGCTGGAAGCAATTGCGCTTAATTTTGCCTCGAATGGACCGAGTTTTCACTTTCCCCTCGTCCCAGCTAATTCAAGCTTTTTCTCGCCTCCGTTTATGCACATGAAAGTTCTTGATTCACGCATTAAGAACTGAATTAGGTCAACAATCACTACTGTTCTATTTAATTAACCACGTTCACGTAATATTTTTGCGCGTATTTGATTTACTCGTGGTGTCAATTTTTTAACAATACAGAATTATTCATTTTTATTCGATTCCTGTTTGTGCTTACTAAAAATTTCATCTGCATGCTGAACCGTTTTTACTTGAAAAATAAATGGTAGGAAAGTAGGAACCAGTTGGATGCATTTTAAATTTCTTTCAGAATTTTATACCGATAAATCGCGTTGAAATCGTCGGAAATATTTCTGTATCTAAAATAAACAGAAGGCGGACTTCTATAAAATATAGTTTTCACTTCGTTTTATCATCTATTTCGGTCCAATTACAACACGATGCAGTTGCAGCAATTTATATGTCTATTTCTTAAGTCGGGCCAACGTATGGTATCGGGCAGTGATGTTGAATTTCTGGGGAGAATCTGACGCGCGAGGGAAGATCGAGAACTCGGGAAAAAAGTGTTCGGTCGACAGGTCGAGCTGTCGGAAGGCGCGAAGAGATAGCCGAGTATCGGCATCCATACGGCCAGTTGGAGGCTGAGGGGCGGTTTTCGGGCGAGTTAGGAAGGTCGAGAGGGGTGATTGTGTTCCGTATCATGTATAATTCACCAACATAGCTCGGGTCTCGCGTCGGCAACTCTTGCGTCGTGCCCGTTATATCTGCTGCACCGGCCTTGTTCCCTGCTATATACAACCTTTCACTGTCGCGATATCTTGGATATTTTCCTTTTCTCTACCCATTTCCTTCCCTTTACCCTTTTTTTTCTTCCTTTTACCCCCCGCTTCCTCCCGCCCCACCGTTTCCGCTTTTCTATTTCCGCTCGGAACGGTCACTCCTCGGGCTGCTTCGCGTCGTACCTTCGGTCCCTATGGTCAATTTTGCGTGTCACGGAGCCTTTCGTGCGGCCAGCCACGTAGCTATCTCTCGTGGTCGAAAAATGTCACATAAGTTTGATAATTCCGCGGCCGGTGCATCATTTATCGTATCGCAATAACTTTTGTGATGAGATCGCGGTATAATGTCCTCGGCCGTTCTTGAAAACTTACACAACCACTCTTTTCATATTTCTGTTTCCTTACTTTTTACATTTCCCTTTACCACGAGTTTCTTCGGAATTCGATCGAAATATCCGCATGTCCTGTACGCAAATGTACAAACCTGTTCCACGTAGGTCGCAGGCAATTGGACCCCTCGAAAATTCACTGCCTACGTGGTCGCTGTACTATAAGTTTGAACAATGGGACCACCGATTTATTGATCAATTAAACTCGATATGTACGCAACACTCGAAAGAGCAGCTTTCTTCGTATCGCACGAACTCGTTAGAAGACGTCAGTTGTACGATCGAGTACCAATCGTTTACTAAGAAAATCAGATCGTTGATCTCTGAGCCGAGTGAATCGAAAAACTGAACTAATTAAGCCTGGCCGGAAGGTAAATTGGCTGTTTTCCCCAGGCTATTGGATCTCCGCGAACGAATGCGCGTACGGTACACCGTGGCGTACCGGTTGGAACCGAGCAAGTGTAGCGATAATGTAAACATGATTTGTAACACAAAGGCTACACGGGTTAGGCTGCACGGCTGCCACATGTTCAGGCCTCGCTGCACGAGTGTGTCGCGTCACCGTAGGCTCGGTTCTCGCGTATAGAACGATCCCCGTGCCTTATACTCCTTCATCCTTATGAGCGAGTGTGTACACAGGCAAACAGGCCTTAGGTACTCGAACGGTGTTTACACGCTGTACCAATTAATCAGCAGATACTATAAACTCGTTTCCCTCGCGGCTTTTTTCGTCTCGAGTTCACTCACTCCTGACACTGTAGCGGCAGGTTGTCACGAGTGCAAGCGCAGCTGCAGTAGGATCCTTGAACTTTTAGATCAGAGCACTCATCTGTACAGCACGAATTAGGCTTGAGACAGTGCATGATAAAAAGTCTCGATTAATCGAGTCCGAACGCGATCCTAATTAGACAAGTTCGTCAGAAATTAAAAAGATTTCATTGACCTAATTAATGGAAAGACGTTCGCCGGATAGGTTTTTACTTTTCGGGCTCGAGTCATGAAAACGATTCGATAAGAATCGCATTTACGAGTACCACGCGCTGAAGTGCGATTCCCTGATTTGGATAAATAATCTTTCTAACGACCTGTTCGTGTCCGCGTTATAAATTCATAATCCCGCGCAATGGTTGATAGTGATACGACACGCGATCTGTCCGGCAATGAGAAAATTCTGATTCGGCTCGGTGCTGGTAAAAATATAAAATTTCAGCTTATCAGGCAATGGTTCCGTCGCAATGGAAATGGCGTATGGTTGATATTAAACGTTTCTTTGCCGACAGAACCGTGTGTTATCTTATTAAATGTAAGTCATGAAAAGTTTTTTGGATGGAAGGGTAGAAACATACAAATTTATCAATAACATCAAGGTTTACTTTATTATACTATAATATTTATAATTGAGTAGGTACTTGGAACAAAGTTGGACACAAAGTATAGTAAATGAGATATGGCACATGATATGTACAGTATGGAGGAAAATCGTCTTTTTTTTCGTCTTACATTGCGCGCAATTTGGTGTGCTTTTAAGAAACATCACTTTCTTAATTGTTCCGCTTTTAAGAAAAAAATTTACTATTTCTCGAAGAGATTTCTCTTTACACGTAATCTACAATCTATCCGTAGCCGTTCCAAGGTGAGGGAACGACGGATCTCAAATGAAAAATCTCGTTAAAAACTATCGTACACTATGTGACAGGTTTACAAAAATTCTCTGTACCCATAAAATCGACGCGAACGAATCCCTTCTCGCGACGGGATGCGTTCTCCGGCCGAGGATATCGTGTAGATACATCCGGAAGCGAATAGAAATTTAACTAGTGCGTAAATCATTACATCACATAACAATTTACAAAGACGTTTACGTTCTCGATTAACTATATACAAATTGATGAAAGGTGTCTACGCAGGAACGGTAGAGAATCAATGAGAAAGCTTTACACGAATCAAACGAGGGTAACGATGATAACTGACTCTGGTCGTGGCTCCTCGCTAGCCGTCACGAGTTTAATTAATTCGTCAACTTTACATCAACGCCTCGGAACCTGGCTCCAAGTTGCACGCAACATATTTACATAGAAATTCTACAATATCAGATAATTAAACTAATACTTTTATGATATGTCTTTATTACGTTATTATATTCGTTCGTCAATTATGTTCTTACTCATAAAACGGTGCTTCTTTTATCGGATACTTTTACAATACATTCTTACCCGGACCTCGTCGTATTTTACAGGACTCTTTCTTTCATCAAATTGCGTTCGTTCGTTTTCTATACAATCAATTCGTACAAATTAATTATGCATCCTCGTACGCTTATGACTATACCCGAATTTTCTCTGAATTTCTTTTGTTCAACGACAACGAAGAGAAGTCTGCCAACGTTTTATACAAATTAAATAAAAATCTTAACAGTGTGTTCGTTTATAAGTATTAGAAAATTCCACGAATCGCATAAATAATAGACTTCCCTCTTTCCTCTCAACAATATATATGCATAATGTATAATTTACAGTAACGAACGCTGTAGCTGACGGGTTTATAAGAAATAGTAAAATTTTTGAAACAAGATGTATCAATCAACGTATAGTGAGATGCTTATAATTTTGAGCAATGATAAGGTTTTCAAAATACGTATCTTATTTTCTATTTTGAAACAGACGCGATTTCGCTTGTGGTCAGAAATAAATTCCTCATGTCTGTAACGCGAAATGAGAAAGCGTAATCGAGTGAGAATTCATTGAGCCACCGTAAACAATTCCGCGTGACCAACAGAATGAACCCAGTCGAAAGACGTTGATCGCGCATATATCTACGAGTAAGACTGCAAGTTTAACAATTCATTTCGGCTTCTTTAGATTTATTATGAACATTCAATCTAATTGTCGATAGTAATTATTTATACTAATTAGTTAGCTCTCGTAATCCTTTATACAAATCTTTTTCTTTATAGTTGTACGTGTCAACGTAATACTCCTCTGGTTATTATGCGTCTCTCGATTAAGCATTCGAAACGATACGGTCGCGGCCTGCGACTGTTTATACAAATAAAGAAATAGCGTATCCGTATGCACGTGTGCATCGACCTGTGCAAGTTTGCGGGTGTATGCGTACGTGCATACGCACGGTGTATATTCATATTATACATGAGAATCTTCGATCTTTCACGCATGTAGGTATACGCGACCTCTTCAAATGTATTTTCCATTCGTTGTTTTAGAAAAATGGAACCGAGTATACGTCAGCATGGGATGATCTATTGAAATTAGAAAAATCAAATCTTCGACCAACGTTCGCTGTGAATAATTTACGAACTTTTTACAGATTGAATAATTAATAAAAGTTGTAAAGTGAAAATACATTTGAGATTTTACTAAATAAAATATTCAAATATTTATCTCTGGAAGAGAATTGCTCGAAGAAGATTCGATTACCTTCATGAATCACACGAATCATTCCACGCGTGTAACACGATTTTATGTACATAACGTCCCTACATTTTCTTTCCTCTATTCACAAGTAAAAAGAGCGAGTGTCTTCTTATTGCTAAGAATTCAATGACATACCGGATTGTACATGCATTTCAATTGCAACGCAGCTGTTTTTGTTCACTTCGAAGTATAACTTGGCACGCAGAGTACATCAAAAAGAGGTTCGAATCCCTTAGATTTGTGATAGCGTAATTCTAAAAGAAACGATTATAGATCTATCGTAGAGAAAAATTTTCCATTCGCTTTACTTCTCTGCTTGAACAAACGGAAATGAGATCCTTACAGATTCACGCGAATTGCTTTCTTTTATATGATACACGTATGCAAAATACTGTCCTAGAGATTTGTCTTGTTTCGTCTTAAATAGGTACGAGATTTGGGGAAAGTATGTTCACGGCGCATATACCTACTCGCGCCAAACAGCAAGGCTTCTAGATGTACATTACGACGATACATAATAACTGTTAAAAAGCATATTGCGATATGACTTGTTACCCTGTCTTTAATGTCTAGAACGTGTCGTCTCTCGAAAGACCCTCGCGTCTATACGAGCGATCTCGTGCGTCAGCTCGAACCGATCGGTTTTATTCGATCGCCATTCGAAGAGGGAAATGGGCTCCCCAACGATAATTAGATTACAAGCTGATTAGACTGTATTCTTTCGGATTAGTCGCGAATCGTTTTTACGTAAGAAGAATCTGATAGACGAAAGGATAACGTGCTCGAAGTACGTTCTAAAAAATTATCGTTATTGTTCGTTTCTTTGTAACGAAGAAGATATAAGCTTCAGTTTTAGGAGTTTGAAATTAAGAAGATGAAGTAAGAGGTAGGGCTGTAAGAAGCGTTTCAATTGGTTCTATATTCTGATTCATTTATCCACGTAGTATATACTTTTATGATTGTAATTCTAAACTCGAATGCTGTATACAGCCTTGGGTCCTTCAATCCTGCCAAAGCATGAAACCTGTTTGTCGTTTTAAATTATGGCTTGACCATAAACCTGTGTTTTCGTAAATTCAAAGTAGCCTTAAAACACAGAATGTAAAGGGAGAGAAATTAATGCGTTCGTTGGTTACCTGATCTATTTCACGTTCACGTATCGAAGTTAACGACGACTGCGGGTTTCGATTATCGTACAGAAAACTCGAGGAATACTTACAGATTTATCGGTATCGCATCGCGTGTTCCGCACATCGATCGTTATTTGAAACGACGGAAGGATCAACGAAGCTCAACGCGGTGGTGCACCGTTCTCTGAGTTACCCGTCAACCCTTTCACGTTATACCTGTTCGATCTGGAAGCGAACGAACGACATTGATATACCACGAAACATCACAATGATCACCGTGAATCGTGCACGGACACCGCTGTGATTTTCGAGCGGAACGGGCGGATCGATGGACGCGAATGGAACTTGCTACGTTGATTTGTTCGCCCTTTATGCGAAGCGATTGTTAATCGTGAAACTAACGGTGAGTCGGTCCCTTTTTTAAAATTTCACTTGCGAGTCTGCAAGTCACGTGTTAATCGTCGGCGACACGCGATCGATGTGAAAATGATATTTTTGATAAACGAGAATAGAAAATAAAATATTGTAAGTGGCACTGCAAAAGTGAGTCCGACAGCAATTTCGGCTCGAAACGAGTCAGATAGGAATAGAAGGAGGAGAGAAAGAGACAAAATAACGAGCAATAACGAATGCGTCAATAATGATAATAATAATAATAATAATAATAATAATAATAATAATAATAATAAATGTAGTTAAACTCTATATTGCACTAGAATCGTTTTTTTTCTCCATTATCTAGTAGAATGATAACAGACTATTATTTCTCTAGAAAATACCTATCCTCTTACGTATGTACAATTTAAAAATTACTACCTTCCTCTCTCGCTTACATTTTAACTATTACAGTGACGTATCGCTCTGGTCACCGAAACATCCCCGCGGTATTGCTGAATGCGCGCGAATTATTCGAGCTCGATCGCTGATCGTTACATCCTCTCGTTATTTTTTTATTCCACGATCGTCCCTACCCGTCGGTCCGTACTTCGATTTCCCCGATCGATCAGTGTCGCGTGATCGGCTCCGGCGCACCCGGTTCTACGAATATTTCGATTACTTACATTTTTTAAAACGATTTTCGCGTCGCCCAGGGACGACGAAATCGGTCAGAAAACAAAAATATATGTATAATCGCACCAGTCGTAAAATACGGCGAGTAGTTTCCAAAGAGTTTAATAAGAGATATCAATTTCGCAGCTGTTCGTTCGGCGATCAATCGCGCTCCCGTAGCCATGCGAGTTTTGTTCACCGCGCGCTGAAAATCGTTGTCGCATCCTATTCATTGAAAATACTTGCTTTGATAGACACTGATTCGTTTCGTGCGAAGAACGATACTCCTCTCATTCCCTTCGTTCTCGTTTGTTCTGCACCTCCCGTTCCTTCTTCTTTTCGCGTGAAAACAATTCTCATTTGTGTACAGGGAACGCGCGGTCAATCACGAGGGGGTACAAATAAAGTTTCGTTAATTCGTCGACTAATACTACGGTATTGCTTCAATATGATATGATACAGTCTTTTCACTGATTGTCCAATATCACTACGTAACACATCCTTTTCATCTCCCCATTCCGTTTTTCCTCCTTTTCTTGGTTCATCACCTCCTTCGTGCTTTCATCCTCGTCGTTACTAATCGATACACTACGCTGGAACGAATCCTGAATAACTTGTAACGATGAAGCAGCATCAGTTTATAATCTGATCAAAGGACATATATGTGTAAGGAAATTAAGTGTTTTAAATATTCAGAACCGATAAAACAAAGATCTGCAAGTTTGAACTATTTTATATGCACATTTCATTTGTCAATTGAAAATACAGACGATTTAAAGTCCAAATTCTGTATCTAGTTTCCTTATTTATTTCAGATAACATAACATCAAGAAAATAGTCGAAGAGAGATTCGTTCCAGGAGCATATCGGCATTTTACATTTACTTATAGTATAACACACATACCTCTTTTCCCTTTCTCTCTCACGCTCTCGCTCTTCCTCTCTCTCTCTCTCTCTCTTTCTCTCTAGCTTTTCACTTTTTACACTGCACTGAGTGTCTATTAGGATTAATATCACTTTATTTGCTCGGCGCAATGTCTCTGCGCGACGATTTCATAACAATACGTACTTTTATATCTTATGTTTCGAATTGTACTTTTTTCAAGACGCGTCGACGATCGATCGGCTGTACTTCGTTGTAATTCAAATTATTTCCCGTTCAGCGAGAAACCCTTCTTCCTCTTCCCTTTCATTTCGTCATAAATATATTCGGGTGTTTTCTGATTTTGTAACTCGATTATTAAATGTAGGATTGCTGAATGTATCTCGAATTAAATAATATCGAATTATCAATTTCTGGAGAAGTTTATTAAAATGCAGTCGACCGTTCCGTGGCGATCGATGCTCTGTGTTTAATTCTGTCGAAGCAGGAATTGTGATTAGGACAACCGGCGAATTTGAATTTAAATGTATGCTTTTATAGGAGAAGCTGTGATCATGAAATCAGCATCAACGACGATTCACGGTCTACGCGGGTCGGTCTAGGGGCGGGTACCCTCGTAAACTGTTTTATCGCGATCGTAGCTGATATGCTTCACAAATTCTATCTCACTTTACAGATGATTTGATCTAGTTCTTCTGCAAGGGTGTTTTTATGTCGTTTTATACGATATTCTTATGCAATGTACGACGTATCACCGAGTTCATAACGCCAGCGTTTCTCCTTATTACCAATTGCGTTTACTTCTTTCACACGATCTTAAACGTAAGACGCGTCGCTTCAATTTCAAATGTCGCGTCAAAAATGTGAAACAAAGATGAGTCTCTCTTTTATAAAATGGAAACTGTTAATTTTCTTTTACTTTTCTTGGGAGGCGGTTGAAACGGATGGAACTCGACGAGCAATGAATAATTTAATGTTCCGTCGTTTAAAATCAGTAAACACCACTTTGTAAAATATAATCCATCACAATCATACGGTGAGAAATGAGGTTGAACGCGGAAGATGGAAGAGGCCCGCGAATCGATGCGCTAAGAATCGTCAGCTTCCGGTGGAAACCTAACCGGGAGACGCGTCGAGAAGATCGCGCGCGACGCGCGCGGGTTTTGAAGAACCGCAGAAATATTATTAAGCCTGTGACAGTCTGAGCGTCGCTCACTTGGCCACAGCATCGAGCTAGCTTGTCCGCGAATCACCTCCAACCGAGAGAAATCGTGTCCGCGAATCACCCCCATCGACGTGCGTGGCTAATGTACGCGCACACGCGTGTGCACTCTCGCGCCAGCACGGTCGAGGCGTTCCCTTTCTCGCAGGCGTCCACCGTTCCTCTCACGTCGTCCGTGCTTTCTTTCACGGCCATCCTTGGAACTCGGTCAAGGGTTCTGGTTTAGGCTCGAGACTGGGCAACTGATACGGTCAGTTTTGCTGTCACAAGCCACCCTCGGGTCAATGTTGAGCAGCGAATTTCATGCGCTTCTGCTTCTGCCGCTGGTTACAAAACCAGACTCGCACCACGTTCTTTTTTAAGTCGAGTTTCTCTGCGATCGCGGCGATCTTCTCGCCGGACGGCCGCGGTTGCACCGCGAAGTACGCTTCCAGAGATCGTTTCTCGGGCGCGGCTATGCTCGTCCTCTTCCTCTTCTTCTCCCCAGCGGGCAACACCGAGGGTGCGTCTGGGTCTCTCCTCTTGTTCTTCGCCTGCGCCTCTGCCTCCTCCAGCCACGCTTGCAGGATCGGTTTCAACGCGATCATGTTGTTGTGCGACAACGTCAACGACTCGAATCGACATATCGTCGACTGAGACAGCGCCCCGACGCCCGGTAACTTCAGGTTCGCCAGCGCTTTCCCAACGTCGGCTTGCGTCACGCCCAGCTTTATGCGTCTCTGTTTAAACCTCTCGGCGAACGCTTCTAATTCTCGCGGGTCTGTGTCAGCGTCTGGATGCAAGCCTGCGGCAGCGGCTGCCGCGGCCGCCGCTGCCATTGCTGGATGATGGTGCGCCGGATGAGGGACGCTTCCTCCGCCACCGCCGAGGTTCCCGTGATGATGGTGATGACCCATCATCCCGTTCATCCCACCGTAAACGGAGGGACCGTGGATACCCGCGTGATGGCCTGGCCCTCCGCCGGTGTTCTCCGACATCGGCGTCAGAGTGGTCATCGAGTTCGCTGGGTCCAACATATCCAAACTCTCCATCCCCGGATGACTCATCTAGAAAATAAATTACATCCGTGTCTTTAGTTAATGTTAAAATAGTCGATGCCTCTACTGAGAATATTGACAATTGTTTGAAAATACTAGATTAATATAGATAGTAGTTTAGCTCTGGCAAACCGATATAATATAATCTTTTTTCAATAGTACTTATTTTTTCATTTCATAGAATAATATAATAAGCAAATTTAATTTTATCTCATATATGAGTCTTCAATGCAGAAGAAGTCTTGTTTTTGTAGCTGTTTAAGTCTGGTTCTGACTAATATAGTTGAGCAACAACTCATTGTCAGTGTAAGAAAACGAAATATCGAGGAAATAAAATGTCTCGACGAACAAGCCTTTTTAAATCTTATTGCGAGTGCAAGTTGCATAGTAACGTGGTTAGACGATTACACCAATTAACATTGTTAAAAGGAAAGAATGAATGGGAGACCGTCGCGGCGGGGACACAGGGATGAAGAGGGAACGTGTACAAACTAGCACGCACAATTATGCTGCACGTGCCGTGGCCGTCGTCCCGAGCAGTGTTCCGCGACCCCTTACAAATTATTTATGAGCTCCCTTCATATTTTTTCTCCGAGGAAGTGTTCGCGATGTCAGCTGCCTTATCCGCTCTGTTTTCTTATCGCAATGTCCACTCTCCAATTTCCACGGTGCGCGAATGCGGATGAAACCGTGTTCATACGTGATAATTTAAACATAACGAGACTACGAGTGATCAGTTCGTCTTCTGAACATAATTGTCTCTCGAACTTTTAATCATTCGGCGTCGACGATTTGAAGAAAATCCGTGTTACGTTGGGTTTCTGTCAAATCGTAGAACGGTCGTTTTGCATTTTTCAAGGAAACCAATAGCTGGTACTCTTAGATCACGATTCCTAGGAAGATAGAGGCGAGGGGTCGTAAAACGGGAATGGAGCGCATGTAAATCGAGGAAAAACGCTGCGGGTGTAGTTCGGATTGGTGGGCCTCGCGCGAACATGCGCCCACGGGACGTTTGCGTAACGTTGTACCACAGGGCGTGACGCGTATGCGTACGAAACACGCGTTGCGTCGTCGTCGTCGTCGTCGTGTGTACGCAACATTTATTCTCACGAGAGTACGCGGCTATAGCGAGCTAACTGGATGGCACGGTTTCGGTCCTGGGGTGGTTCGGAATAGCATAGTTACATCAGAAATGCAGGGGGTTTGCGGGTGCCGGAACGAAAGAGGAAGAAGGAAACGGGGTTGGAAGAGGACGGACGGTAAATATGGAGTGAGCAAGGGACTAGCCCAGGGGCGTATACGGTGGGGCCCCAGAGACCCCCGCAATATTTCATCATTACACTGACACGACGGTAGGGTTAGTCGACTCTCTGCCCCTCTCTCTCTCTCTTTCTACCCTCTACGAGCAGTATACGCTTCTCTATCTTTTTTCACCCTAAAGCTCGTCACGATTCCTCTCCCCTTTCACTTCTCTCTCTCTCTCTCTCTCTCTCTCTCTCTGTCACTCCCCAAAAGTTTGTGCCGATGATACAAAACTCGTTACATGCGTTCGTGAACGTATTACGTTGCGCGTTAGCCAAGCTGGTACGAACACCGCGCCGTTATTGAATTCGTCAGCCTCGCGTATAAAAACAGACTTTATGGGACACTTGCTGTTTGACCATCTGTATGGGAGATCCGCGGCCGAAACAGAGGGTGGACGCTGGGAGCGAGAGAGAAACTGTGAAGCGGGAGAAGGGTGTTCATGCCACCGCACTGCGGGAAGCCAGAACTGCGATCTATACACCCACTTCATGCTGAACGGGTACGCTGGCGACTAATAGCCAGCCGATTTTCACCGGGATCGATGGAATTGCTCTCGGTTAGGGGATCTTTAATCAGTCCGGCGGACAAAGGCTCGTCCTTTTTTAAATTATTGATCAATAGCATTTCTGGTGCTCGTTAAACGTCTGTCATCGTCTCTGAGTCTTGAAAAGAATCTAGCCACTGCTCTATTTATCCGTATTTGTTTGCTCAAACTTGCACAGTAAGGGAAAGAAATTATTGTAACAATGACAAATTTCCCGTATTAATATTTTTGTGGGAATGTACATATAAACAGAGATAATGAGAGGATTAAATTGAATACGTTAATATCGCAACGAAATATATTTTTCACCCTCAAAATGCGTTTATTGGAAAGTCATGCATAACTGAAAACAGCTACTTAAAATGTACGTTTTAATCGTACCACGCTCTATCAATTTTTAAGCAAGCAATAATTATCTTTAAATATTTCGAACCGGAAGTATTTTTTACTTCACAGTACAATTTAAAATTCATTATCAAAATGCATGCCGTATCTACAATTATTTTTGTAATTCGAGTTGCAATTATCAGATGCAATTGTAATATCTTTATATTTCAATAATTTTTTGTGTATCGCAGTTCGAGTGGCCAGAATGGAGCTGGCATGAAAAGGAGTCTCTGCGTCAAAATTGATTGCGTTACGCCCGTTGTGTTACGAATCGTCCCGACGGCGAGATAATATACGAGCAACGCCCCTACGCTCGAGAAGATCATTCCGGGTCGCTGAACATTGCTTGCCTGTTTCACCCCACTGTCATCCTATCATCCACTCATCAGCCTCAGATTGCTTGTATTAGCATAAAAAACCCTCGAAACGACAAGCAGCAAATTGCGATTGAATTAAGGGGACACACACTGTCTTCTCGCCTGTCTACTGTTTATAGTACCAGTAATTACTTAGTATTGGAAAACTAAAACTGTGACATTTCTAAATATATATTTTATTTATTATCCGTTACATACGAGCCCTCCGTCTTTTGGACATGTAATATGTTACACGACATTGGTAATGACGAGCGGTAATAAATTATTATATGTTGTACTAATGGAAGACAATAATGATGTTTGGAGAGCATCATTAATTAAGCTGTGAGAATGGGAAACTGTTGCTCGCATCGTCGACGATGTTAATAAAGAATCGGTGCGGTTGAATTTTTCAGCCAGTGAATTAACTATAACTCGTAATTAATTGCTGGACGTAATTAATTATGGTCTACCGTTTTAAATGACCGGTACCATGGCAGACCACTCGTTGCATTTTATAATTGTATTCCGACGCTGAATTTTGCACACCCATGTCGCGGTTTTCGGTACATTCCATTACGATAATGGTCTACCCGATAAACTTCGGTGTTCGTGACAAGAACAAGTTTCAATAAAATTATCGTGCGATTCAATAATTTGCCCGATTTACCTTTCGATTATTATTATTAGATATACGAACAGCCAGATGTTTAGCAGAAATTATTCAATCATTGGATGTAAATAAATATTCTCTATCGATCTTTAAAGAGGTATAACTCTATAAGAACGAATGGTAAGGGAATATAGTATTCAGAAAAATGCAGACTCACAAAGAGGTGTGAATGTACCTGATGATGTGGCCGGTTATTCGGATGTGGGGTGGGCATGTGGGCTCCGTGATGATAGACTGAGACGGGGTCGTGCTTCAAAGGCATCGGCGTACCCGCGTTGTGTTTTCCCAAATCCGCCGCCAAAGCCTCCGCCCTCGAGAGTAAGCCGTCTTGTAGGCCGCTGTTCAGGCCCCCGAACAAGTCACCCTGTAACGTTAAAAGCGACACGTGACACTGATTGAAGAATCACGGACTGACGTAACAGAATTTTCGTGGAAAACCGTGTTCCGTCTTCGTAAGCCGATTTGAATCGGGAATATCTTATCACGTCGTTGCCAGTGATACTTTCGATTGACAGGATGTAGCACGATTTCTTTTAGACAGATTTTTGTACACGTGTGCGAATGTCTGAAACGAGGTTCCGAGGTTCATTTTTCAATTTTACAGATATTTTCGTTTATGATGAGGTAATCGATTGCCGCCGATTCAATGCCATTTTACGATTAAAAAAATGTACGGTTCATTTGTACAAAAGGTCCCAGTCAGAGGTCACTCCGCATACTCAACATGGCCGTGCGGTCGATATTCTAAAAATAGTTTTGACACTGGCGACTACAATTTAGTTCGGATTTTTTCAAATTACAAACTCGTCGTAAAGATATGAAGATAATAATTTTTTAATAATAATTATTGACGTGCCGATGCTGTCGTTAACGAATCTGTCATGCTTAAAAAAATACATTCGTCGAATTTGATTTTGTCAGTGGTTCCCTTGTTTCGAATGAATTCTTTAGGAAGCAGACGATTTGATTAAATAGAGACATACATATGTATGAGAGAAGCAGTGAATTACAAACTGGCCGTATAAATTGATGTTATTTCAAAAGTGGCTGCGCGTGACCTATGAGATTTGCTAATCAAATTGGCTCGCTTGTCAAACGCGGCTAGGGATGCCGGACAGGATATTTTAGGGTTGAAGTGTTACTAAAATTGAACGCTCATAGGGTCCGTCAGACCTATCCTATGTTTGGAAACAGTTCCACGATTGATGGCAATGTCTCAGGAAACAATACATTTGGTTTTGCAGTAGCCGACAGCATTTATTTATCTTATACATAAAAATGATAAACAATAGTTATACACCATCATTATTCAATCTTAGAAACGTTAACACGTCCTGTATGTATTTACTTTATCCAACATTGAAAGTAAAAAAGATATTAGGTATTAAATAAGAATTTTACAGAAATAATGATAATCGAATAAATTGCCAGGAGCGAAAGGGTTGAGGCGATGCCCTTTTACCGCCACGTACTAATAGCAGTTGCGAAGCGAATTTATGGTTTCGTTTCATCCAGATACGCCTCTCTACGATGGCAATCGATATTATATGGGACATTTTGCGTCAGCCGCATCTGTCACTTGCGGCACACTGCAAAGTTTGGCTATTGCGCAAGGGATGTCATCACGATATTCCAGAGAAAGTAAAACGTACCACGAACCGGTTTCTAAATATTTTTTAAATAAATCTACGAACCAATACAAAAGAATGAATAATAATTCTTGACCGAACTAATGAAGTGCTACTAAACAGGACTCAGGGACGAATTATGGGTAAATAATTATCGCGACATCGACGGTCTTGCTTAACGCAAAATTGCTAAGAAAAAAAGAACAGAAAGAAAGGTATGTTATCCACTTATTTCATTATAAACTGTAGATAATGTCCGCATCGACCGATCAATATTTCATGCGAAAACCACCGTCGTGCTTTACCGCTTCGATTATTTATGAACTCCTCGTGTCTTTGTCGAGTACGTGTACCTACTATCTGTCCGTAGGTTGCTGAACTACCATCGTCGTTTTTCTTTTTAATTCCGAACTTCCATGTATGCGCTCGTCCTTTCCTCGTATCGTCGTTTATCGAACACTTAACTTCACTTTTGATCTCGCAGAATATCCTTCCTAACGTTTATTTATTCATATACCAAATCGTAATACGCAAACATAAATTCTATGTACATCGATCTTCCATATTTTCCATAAATTTCTGCGTTCATATTATACGAAGATCTGTTTGATTGCGTAACTAAACAACTATTATTGAAATGTAAAATGAGATAGTTAATTCGTTGCCTGATGCATGGACGTTGTTCACGAAGACAAATGCTATGGCTAAATGGAGTTCTAACAGAGTAATAAATCTTGAACCGTGTTTTCTCCTCAAGTGCGAAGGAGGACTTCGATTGGGGTGAGAGCTTTCCAGTTTACTATGATGTCTGTGTGTATCTAGTGTGTAGCTGCAGGGTGAGACTTTCGGGCATCAGTTATTCCGATTGGCAAAGTCACATATAAATGTATTAACTAAGTTAAGATTTCAATATTGCTTCTAGAAATATCGTACGTAATATCTGCAAATTATTTGCTATATTTTATTATAATGTTTATTTTTAATAAATAAAATTAGCTCTTTTAATTATCTTTGAGCTTCTGTTTTTGACGGGAAAGAACGTTAAAAAAAATGTATAAAGAAGTTCGCTTGTCCTTTTCGATTCACTGTACGCCCCACAAGCGTGCGCGAAGTAGTTTGTCCAAGTGTTGGGCGCGGCGCGCGTTAGGAAGGGGCCAAGGATGAGAAAAGCGACGGCGATGCGGAGGAACGGATACAGATTGCTCTTGTTAGCCGCGTAGTTAGCAGCTCGTGCAGTTGTTTACGAAAGTTCCCCCATCGAGCCCGATTCACCGAGTCCCCGTGGTTAATAGAGTCATTTTTCCGAGCTGCCTTGCGGCCAACCCGCCCGTTAAACACGTCTTCCGAGCACACCGGCGTGCCGCGTTAAAGATTAGCCAATTACAATTGAATTATCGCGCCCCACCGGCCCGTCCGTGTAATTTATCTGCTCGCTTCGCGAGAAACCCGGCATGATTAAGCTCGTAACGTACCACTCGCTACGGATGGTGTATTATATCAGCTTCCTTTTCGTTTAACTCACTTACCGAGCGATAATTCTACCATTGTAAACGATTATGCGAGTCCGTAGAGAATGATTACGTTTCAGAAGATCCAACGTTTATTATCAGTGAAAAGAAGTGGTGCATGTAATATAGATAAATTAACTCTCCTCCGTTTAATCATTAATTGCAACTTATAGGCACAGTGTTATGTATTGAGCAATTAAGAAGATTTCATTGCAAAGAAAGTAGTAAATTATTTATGAATCTTTCCTCTAAGGATATCACTTGTAGTAACCGTCGACGCATTCAATGTTCCAGTTCAACAATTCATTAGTTTTGCCCATCCCCATAAAAATTTGCTGGTTATGCAGGATGTATATTTCGGCTTGGAAAAGAGTAATCGGCATTGTCAGAATGAAATAAACTAGGAACGTTAATGCGAGTATGGAACGCGTCCGGATGCAATTGAACGCAACATACACGTTCATAACTGTATAATGCGCGCGTTGTGTTTCAGCAATCGGAGATACAAGCTCGAGGTTTGAAATAAATGCGATGAAGTATTCAACGGGACGGAATACGAAGCGCAAGGGAAATTGACTTTTTTTTTGTCGGTCCAATTTCGCGTTATCAATCATCCAAATGTTAACAGTAAAAGTAATTGTCAGACTTTTATTTTCAATCTTGCCGGTTGGAAATATTCAACCGCCCCAATAGAGGAAACGTTGAAAACGTAAATAATAAAATTTGATCAAATCTGACCGAAATATATTTCCAAATGGTAAAAGTAAATATTAAACGTCTAAGCTCTCTTCAAAGTGAATTTCTGTAAATGAAACGTAAAACAGTCCTGAAAAAGGGACGATGCCTCGGGTACGGCTTGTTTACCCGCGTGTGACTCGTGGAAAGAACGGCGTATGACGATGATTAAACGGGCGGTAACTCGGTTCTAAAATCAGCCGGAGTTTCGGAGCCGTCGGCAAACGGATACCGCGAAATGGGACAATCACGTTATTTCCGTCCGATAACCTACATCGCGAAGTAGTCTGTGACGTACTTATGAATAAATAAATTCTTCCAGAAAATCTGACGTCTGACACGAAAACCAGCAGACCGTACGAATTATCACTTGCATGGCGGAGTGCCGCCGCGCCGTCTGTCTACTCTGGATGGTAGATATCGCCGAATATCATCCGCGGACGGTCGCGTCGCTCGTTTCCCGATCAAATTCGGTTTCACTTGCGACACAGACGCGGACCGCGACCCCGCGACTCGTCGCTTTCCTCCAATCCATTCTTATCGATTTAGCAACGATCCAAATTTACAACTCGCTCGATATTCGCCACGGTGGTAGCTCCGTCGCGTCGCGTCCGTGTGTCTGCCCGGTGACGCGCAACCAGTCGCCGCGGCTTTATCAGATACCCGTTCGGCAATAATTGATGCCGCGCATTGGATAACGCAATTAACAGTGTATTATTGATGGGAGCCGAGTGAAACGCCGCGTGTCATATTGTAAATTACCGTTCGATAAATGCGCGGAGATTGCGACATGAAATATTGCGATATATGCGAGATTGCGGCACGAACCGGCTGACCATGTACATGTATGTATTTACTTTGTTGTCGAGCTGTCTGAAAATCGGTGCTGGCATCGTTGGTAAGTGTATTCCTGGTCGCGATAAATTGTACGTGAAAAATTGTTGTTATCGTTTTCGTCCGACTCGTGGATGCTTTCACAAAATTGGACTTGAACTTTGAACTCGCTCGTGAACATACGTATTTATCAAAATTAATTGTACTCGCTTTCACCGAACTTGTAAATGACAGACTTCGACGTTTTATCTGGTCAAATCCTTATAACGATGTGCCACCGAGTTAGGAATGCAAGAACAGGCAAGATGAATTTTTGAACCGTGAACATTGGCCGGTGACGTTCGGCGAATTTGCGGAAAGAGTAAGCGACGCGTGGCTCTTTTTACGGCACTCAAACTATCTCGCGCCACCTCGTCGTATATCTAAATAATCAATTTACTGCTAACCATAATCGTAACCACGAGTTAGCGAGTTTATGTCAGCCGAGCCACCGTAACTACGTGGCTTTGCGAAGCATAAATATTACGGAGCGTTTCGAGTTCGGAGTCATCTCCCTTTCTCCGTTAATCACGGGTTCCAAAATATTTTCTTTTTAATTGTCTCTTGTACCGTTAATACACGATCAAATAATTTTTACTTTGTTATAATTAAAAAAAGGTAATTACACAGTAATGTACTCACATTATGCCTCGGAGACCAGGAATTGCACATAATGGAGGCATCTTCCAAGATACGACTCTGAAAAATGAAAATTCTCGGTTTTCAAATGTTCCACGTCCCTTTTCACATCTTCGTATTGTACATTCTTCCTTTCTCTCAAACATATAAATTCTCTACATTCCATTCTTTAAAATATTTCCACAATTTTTGAAAAGTTCAAAATTCTCGACAAGTTAAATCCAGGACTATGCTTTTAGAATTCAGCAATCAAATAACGAGCGTCCTCGTCGCTGATATTCTTGCTGATTCCAACAATAGAACATGAATTATAATTATAGAATCTATCGATTAATATATTTATCATCGATAATATATAATAATCGTGTTTATACAATAGCATTAAAATCTTTGATTTAGCTTATATTTCTTAATTAATTTGATGTATTGAACCTATTGATCGTGATACATAAATATTTGTGAAAACATATTTTACAATCTTATTCTATATTTATTGGACAGATTTACTTGAAGTCGTAATTAAGAAGTAACGAGACCAGGTAGTCTAGAACATATAAATGTAGACGTATCGTTGAAAATCCCAATGTCATTGAACTCCTCGAAATAGGTGACTGCTTAGGAGCACGGTCGAGAGTGGAAAGCTGGGAAAATTTTACAACGCGACGTTCTGACCCCAATAGTCTGTCTAGACTAGACGTTTTAAATATTAACTACTTATGGAGTGATCCTTTATATCCACATAGATCATTCACCTCCGTATTCTGTTCCACCGATGTATTTGTGGAACGTCAAACGATTATTTGAAGTAAAAAATTCTATTTCCTATCGATCAATATATATCCGACGGGCTTGTCAAATATTTTAATCAATCATAAATTGTTTATCATATAAGAAAATGTTTTAGCGTCAATTAAGTGTTTCCGAATGGACATAACTTGTTCTTCTTTTCAGACATAATAAAATACGTATTGCATTTCCTACAGAAGTGAATAAAAAAATAATATACTGTATCATCAGAAATTGTGGATGAACATTAATCTAAATTTATTTGCAATGAACGTCGAACGCATTCTGATGTCCATGCAAATTTTTAATAGTGAACAATGTTTAGGAATTAGTGCCTCCAGACGCATACGAAGCTAACAGAGATCCATGTACACCGGCGCGGTTTAACTGTCAACGGAGTTTAATATTCATCCGACCTGCATATTTTATTCCCGGCAATCGCGTAATATGTATATTTAAAGCCCGTTGCTAAGATTGACAGAATCGGGTCATTCCAGCGACGCGCGTCGCGACGCCGCGCCGTCGCAAAATAAATAACTCATTTTAGGAACCGAGAGCACGGAACTAGGTAATTCAATATCGTTCTCATTAAAGTGTCGGCGAATTCTGAGTTTGATCGGTACCGATGACAATGATCGCGTCATTATAGAAGTCGCGGCTGACGTCGATCTTTTATTCATCCCCAGCGACGGTCTTCGTCAGATTTTTTATTCTCCTCTGCCACTTCATTCCTTTATTCTTCCTATCCTTCTCGATATACACGATGTCCTGTATGTTTCATACCATCGTTAAGCGTTACTTGTCACGTCTCGCATGCAAATTGTTAACACTCCCACGAGTGTTAGCGAGTGAGTAGCCAAAGGAAAGTGAAAATGCACCGTGGATGTTCAAAATAGTTAATTACCTCCATACCTCCTATGTTCGGACTGCTGGTAGCGATGCGTTCTTGTACAATATCGGACTCGCAACCTTGTCGACTCGCAGGTCGACTCTCTTTCGAATCTCTCCTGATCGATCGCTCAACTCTAAAAGGCTAACTAACTGACTGTCTTAAACTGTCAATCTGTCTGAGTCCAACTTTCTGAGTCCAAACTGAGTCAAACTCCTATCTCCAAGAAGGGTCTCTCGTTTTTAACGGTCGTATTCGATCGAGGAGAGGTAACAACGGACCCAGACCGACCGCTCCTTGCGCGGTCGTCCCGTGTCCGCCAGCCAACTCAACGCCAATTGTTGAGGTCGAACGCCCACCCGCCGAAGTCTGCCGTCCCCGACTTGTGCCGTACAAAAGCGTCAGGAACACAAGTATTTGTGTTCCGTATGATCCTCCTTTAAAGGAATAATAAATTTACCTCACTCTAATATCGTTCCCAGTGATTCAGTATTCATTCGTTTCGATTCCCTTGTCTAGACTTTATTCCAGCAATTTGTAATACTTCGTATTATACCGTATAGTTAGGCTTGTACATTATTCTCGTGCTTAGCTAAGCACGTGTACGCGATACTGTTTTATACATGAACCTGAGAATAGCCGAAAATTGTGCCACGCTAATTATTCAACGCGATTCCACTGCGGCGAAATATAATGTGTAACAGCGGTGCTAGATAATCGTTCCTGGGAAAATCATACGTTCTCGTAGAAATTTCCGAAGCTGGAGAATTTCCGCGCTCGGCTCGTTTCCGTTTCAGCTAAAATTTAGACCGTGCGTCATCGTTCACCGGGTGCACGCGTGCGTTGCGTGCACGTTTGAGCGCGAGATGCATCGTATTCGCTTTCCCGGAAGCTGTACACAGCGCATCGAGCGCAAATACGATGGTATACATAGATGTATGTACCCACGCACGAGCGCGTATAGCGTGGTCAGAGGCGCGTGTTTGCGCTTTCGCCAATTCCCCATTGTCGGGCACTTGATCAAATCTACGTAGAGTTCGGCCGTTCCGAACGCAGCTCGCCAATTTTCACAGAAATAAATTACGTTATAATTGACATCTTTATATCGAACGGAAAACGACTGGGCAGGGAATACGTGTTGGCGAGCAAATATTACCTTCCATCTTCGAGCAGCCATACAGAATGACGGACGCAGCGATTCGTCGTACGTTCCTCGGTATTCCTAAATAAAAATATCAGCTAACTTTGTTGATTCCTTATACCGCACGCCTCCACTAGAAACATTGGTACAACAAAAAACACGGAAAAAGCTACCCATCCGTCCATCGTTCATCCACGTTATTACGAGGCATTTCAATTTCCCGTAGAATTTCGAATTCGCGTTCCGGTGTGTACATACCAGCACTCGCATCGCCTCTGTGGCACGTGCACGTGCATACACGCGTTACAAGGATGAGCTTGTGCGCGGGCTGCATCGCAAACACAGAGGGTGGTGCACCGTGGGCGAGCGCGCGCGCGCGCGCGTGCGTTCGGCCACGTGCACGGGGTCGCGTATCCGGAAACGGTTTGCCCAGCTAATTGATTTTCTTTGGTATCCTCGATTCGGCGTAACCGGTGCATGCAACGCGCCGTGTCCAGCGAGTACTTACGGAGACGGCCGGTACGCCCGGTTTCATCGGTGGATCGGCAAATTCAATCGGGAACCTGCCCGTTTGATTATCAGCTAGGTTCTCTTTCCCTCTCGATTGTAAATCAACCGCAAAACTCTGTGCCTTGCAATTATACGGTCGATCGTTACCTCCGATCGATCCGGTGTCGCGATCTGGCCTAGTACGCTGTTCGACACCTGAATTAATAATGTACAGCATATTTTCGTCATCCAATGGGAAAACGTAATAGTCCAATCGTTTAATTTCGTTACACGACGATCTCAAAAAGTTGCACTGCTTTCGTATAAAAGAATATCGCTATTTATGCCGAGACGCAGAAATCGTGAGCATGCAAAAAGTATGGTATCTCAGGATCGTTAGTAAACTTAAGTTTCGTCTTCGGAATAAAATTCGTTCTCCACTAACAAGAAAGAAAAGAGGTGCAAGGGGAGGGGGGAGGTAGGGAGAAGCTTCTTCTTCGCGAAACTTTGACTGATAATTAACTAAATTTACCAAGGGTTGCGAGTCAAAGTGTGAAGTCGTGTTCCAAGTCTTTCTGCACTTCGACGCTCCACTACGCTGGTTAATAACAAATGAGTCGAGCTTCGCCCCCTTCACTTTTGTTATAATCGGAGACACTCGCTCCCTTACAGTTACTATGTCTACTGTACTCTATTATTCAGCGGATCCGTTTGAACCGTTCTAAACATCGCTTCGACGTGCTTCCGCGTTTCAATCTCCAATGTCTCAATTACATTTCATTACCCTTCCTCTTTTTATTATACATACGTAATCGGAAAAGTCTGCAGCAATCAATATCGATCGAAAACATAATTAATTTTCCTGTCTCAATGATTTTCTTATTATTTCTGTCCACAGTAGAAAATAAATAAAATTCTGTTATATCAGTCCTGAATAAAACTGTAGGAACGCATACGTGAGATGTGACACAATATTTCATATTCTCACAGGAAAGAGTTACACTGATAAGTAGTTCACGTACGTATGAATGTACGAGAGTCGATCGTAGCAGAGACGCGGAGGAGCGGATGGATAGCCATGAGAATTTACGTTCCACCGGATTCATTACTATTTCAAGTGAAAAACACAGATCTTGACGAAGCGTGAAACGTCTAAGAGCCGCGTAAAGGGAATTTATGAAATTTCGTAATGCAGTATTCTGATTCGTAGACTCCGGCTCCCCGGTCTCCCAGGCTTCAGTCAACTCTTTACCCAGCGATTTTTTGCTTTTAATGCAGAATACGATTAAGTTACCTACCTACCTGCCGGAGGAGCATCCGTTACGCTTGATCCGCGCTGCGAAAAACGAATTACTCTAATTCCAGGAATTTCCAACGCGACGTTACGTAATTCCCTTCCTCTTTATCGAAACTTGCTCGACCTTTTTCTTATTTAATATTCCGCGGTGGAATTTTCCAAACTAAACTCGTCGTCGTATCTTTATGCGACGTCTAATCTGACTCGCCATCGGAATCTGGACCATTTTCGTGTAATTCTTTCTATGAAACGCCAGCAGAAGAATTCACATTTCTGTTATTTATTAAATATTCAATTTATTTCTGAGCCTCACACGGATTATATTTGTTACGCAGGCTTTCGTTAATTAGCTATATTCCTTCTTAAAATATACGCAATATGTTTTCTATCGTTAATATTTCTTGATACCAAGTATCATAGATGTATCATTCCCGATTCGTACTGAGAATCGATTCGCT